AGCTTAAGCCAGGCCTGCCTGAGGTGGCTAATGGGGAAGGCCCTGTGGAAGTTTGCCAAGGAGGTCTCACCTGCTGCAAACGATTTGACCTTAGCCCTAAACCTCAGGAGTGAACATCAGTGACATAGTAAACATCCTAGAATTGTGATGCTATTGGCCCCAGTTATTTCCATCTACATGTTATCAAGAACAAAATTCCCCACTTCTAAACCCCAACATCCTCGTCGCCTGCCTCACTCATTCTTGTGGGGTCACTAGGTTTTGCTATCTCCCCAAGAGCTTCTTGTCTCCCCCAACTGGCCTTATGGTTCCAGGGAAAAGCCTGCTCTCTCTGCAGTCCTGTGCTGAGGAGGAGACACAGCATGGTTTAACAAAAAGATTTTTTTTTTCTGAAAAGTGAGCTATTTGTAGCCCAAGTTAGTTGAACAGATTTTTCGTGGTGTGGCTTATTTTTTTACTCATTAACTTCTTTTCCTTATGAATTAAAAAAAAAGCATTTCCCCACGCAGGAGTCTTTTGTTTACTTCTCTCTGTACTACAGCCAGCACTTGTGACAGCAAGGCAAATCAGGTGCCCACTGGGAAGGTGGCTTTCCTTAAAGCCATAGCATCGTGAACAGGTGAATACAGGTATCCACGTGCCCATTCTGCCTCCCTGACACCTGACGAAGCCCACCAGAGCCTCTGCTGGTTGTGCTTTCAGATGTGCAAAAGCCATCCAGGAGTTCTGCTCAGACCTCAGCCCCTGGCTATTCTGGCTAGAGTCTATGACCTTCGTGACATTCACACTGTCCACATGGCAGAACTGGGGGCAGGTCCTACAAATCTGATGTCTGATAATGCCTTCATGGCCTATTTTCCTGATCTCAGAAATGTCCCCTGTGTATATAGTGTCTGTTGAGTCACAAGTGTCACTCCTCCTCAACACCATAGGTACCCCTCCCTCTGTAGGTGTCTTGAAGCTGTCCGGAGGGCCATAGATGGCCAGAGTCCCAGTAGAGAGAGCAGATCTCTACTCTTCCCCCAGGCTTAGGATCTCAAGCACCCTCGGGTGTATTTACACGTGGTACCAAGCCAGGTGGCCCCTACCTGCATCCTTCAAAGTGTGGCTCTCAAGCCTCCATGACACAAGTCCATTTATTTCCCATCATGCACTGGTCTCTAGCCCAACTGCATATCTTTGGAATGCACTTACCTTTTTTAAAGCCATGTTTCCATGGCTCATTCGTTCATCCCATCTCCAGAACTGTTTTACTATTATTTCTTTTTCTTAATCATTTTTTGCCAAGCTCTGTGTCAAGGGCTCCTCCAAATTGTTTTATAATCTAGTCTCTTCTATTCACAGCCTCTCTCCCCTGTCTTATACTTCCCCCAAGGCCAAGTGAACCCCCTAACTAGAAGCTACCAAGAATGGCCCTCCCATCAGAGCCCCAAGAAATATTCTTTTCTCCCACTTAGTTTTTGCCATCAGGGTGACAGTAACAGTTAACCTTGTTAAATGGCCTGCTGTTCTTCCTTCATGGATTTCTCCCGACTCACAGAACTGGTGAGTGCCAGGCTCAGAAATCCTGGCACTTTGAGTGTGTCTGGCACTCCCTTAAACTGCCATATCCCTTTATCAGAGCTCCAAATTCCCCAAAACTCCATGAAAAAATTCAATGGTAAGGTCAAGCCTAAAAGATGTGCAGACATGTACTGGAGTCATTAGTCCAGTGTTTCACTACAAAATGATTCGAGCTTGACGGTGGGTACCCTCTAGATTCCAAAGAATCATCCAGTGTGTCACACACTCACCCATCTGGTCCCCAGGCTGTAGGTGAGGTTGGGTTAATGTAAAGTCCCTACACTGGTCACAGACTCTCTGGTGAGGTAGAGGCCAAAGGCACCTGGGAATGTGACGGTGACACAGAAGGTTGGAGGCATTCACACTGTGGGTCACTTGGTCCTAACAACTTATTGAAGATACAGGCCACAGCCTCTTCACCTATCAATGGGACTCTGATTCTGAATCTGGCTTCGTGGTGCCCCTCAACCCCCTTTAACCCCTTGCCAGAGTGGTAGCTGAGGAGAGCATACATCACAGCCCCTGAGTCTAGAGAACAACAGGGGCCAAAGCTAAAGCAAGATTGTGCCAGTCTGGTCCCACACCTCAAGTACTCCCATTTTACAACCCAGAAAAAGAGGCCATGCAACCACACCCTGCCGTATGCTTTGCATCTTGCCCAACCAAGTGTGTGTGCTTCTAGTGTAGGGCGCCCAGCACGACTGTAGGAAGAGAGCTCCAGTACTGGACTTCTGCCCAACAACCAGTACCAGGGCAGGGTTCCTAGGCCTGCCGCTCCCAAGTGCATCGCAATGCGGCGAAGAAGGGTACCTATATTCCCTGAACTCATGCATCAGCTGTATGCAGCTGCCAAACACGGTCCTGGGACAGACTTTATGGGATGGCCACAGTGATGGAAGGTCAGAGGCCCAGGAACGCAACGGGTTCCAGTGACAGCCAACGGAGCACAGAGTCCAGGCCTGGGCTAGATGACAGGAAGGGAAGGGGGCGTTCCGGATTAGGC